CTCTCAGATCTCAAGGCTAATTTTACTTGCAAGGCTGTTTCCAAAATGCAATCGGAGCTTACAGTAAGTATTGAGCAGCAAACTTGTGTTTTTCCAAAGTGATGAAGCTTTTGCATCTCATTGTACTAACTTAAATTGCATATCACAGCAGACATCTCAAAATACATAGTCTTCTGGGGGCTAAGCATATATTAATACATTTTGGTAGAGAGGAATATAGGCCTACTGTCATGTAGGTTATGTTATCAGGCATCCTTCTAATTCCCTTGAACAACCAAGATTGAACTTTTGAACTCTTTATAATTTCTATTATCTAGTCCAGTTAAAGTTCAGGGGAGGAAGCCCCATCATAGTAAAGAGGATACTAATGTGATGTGTGTAGTTCTTCATAGCCTCTTCATTTTGCTCTCAAAGTGCACGGAATTGATGGATTTTTAACAGAATGTAGAAAAAAATTCTCCCGGGGGGGGCAAGCCCCCGGACCCCCCTAAAGGGGCTGTGTTCCCCTTGGGGCTAAGCCCCCCTTGTTCTTGAAACCTAGTGACGCCCCTGACTGGAAGCAACTTGTTTTGTGCGCCTTTCCATTCCTCTTCCAAACTGGGTGTACTAATCGATAAATGTAGAGCAAAACTTGACTTTTTGAAATTAGAACTTTACACAAATTAGTCACTTTTTTTTCTAAGCACGGGTAAAAGTCTGATGCTTTGGCTTTTTCAGACAGGCATTACGCTTGTCCCTAAATTCCTTGATATGGGTCTTGGATGCATTGGCTGCAGCCTCAGTCACATATGCACACCCGATGATCTCTCATGGTCGGTGCCAAGCCACGCTGGAGGGAATTACTTTTTGAATTTAACAGCTGAAATGAAGGCGGACAGTAATTTTCAAATTTGAGATGCACTTGTAACTTTACTGACGGACATACTTTTTCTCCTTAGCTACTTAACTTTCCTCTTTGCATCCTAAGAGTGGAGATTGCAATTTGTTTTCACCTTCTCCAACCCCAGCCCCCAAGACAGTCCATGTTACTGGACTCCAGTAACATGGGTTACCCTATTGGTGAAGAAATCCGAATTGAATTTAGTTGGTAACATTTAGAAGCCTATCCACACCAAATACGTTGATGTTGTTAAAATGATACAAGATATATTAATAACCTCAGTAGTTGTGCAACGATCCACACTACCATGTATGGTGGCTCTGCAATGCAAAATATAATTAAACATTAGTGTATGGTGGCTCTGCAATGCAAAACATAACAGCAAATGACGCACACGTCGCAGAATGGGCTATAAGACACTGTCTGCGACACGCCTAGTGGCTCAAATTCGCGCTACATTCGTGTAGTCTGACGTCGGCATGAAACAAGCAGTCGCGACCATACCGAGTGTTGCGTTTATGAACTCAAGACAAAGCAGCGCTCACTCAAAGTCAGTCATGACATACAGTATTCGCCACGAGCACTATCGCAATAGATGATAAAACGCATAACCTGCGTAGTTTGTTACAGTATATACTAATTTAGAGTGCTCAAAAATGTTCTTTCTAATCTTTAAGTGCCCCCCCCCCCTTTCAGGTGCATACTACATTTTGATTGTGATTGAGGACATCAAATTATGCATACTAGCGAAGCAAAACGTTTTGGATGAAGGTTGAATTAAAAACAAATTAAAACCAATACAAGTGTTTCTTTAAAACAGTGAATTTCTCTCATTTTACTCATCTGATTTCATTACCTTCATTTAAAAAAAGCTTGGTGGCCGAGAAGAGTGAAATGTTTATAAGTATTGTATTTCTTTTTGTATTCAGTTACATAGTATTAGTGCAACTCTGCAGTGTATAATTTGGGGTTCCATTTTAAAATGGACTAAACGTTTGCAGCTAAGGGCCACAGTATTGCTTTCAATTTAAGTTGATCCATCATTTATAAACATGTCCAGAATGCTAGTACAAGCTGCAACGTTAACTAAAAGTTGAATGTATTATCATTTTCATGGTCTTGATTATTAATTTGTACAAAACTTAAATATTTCAAGCTGTATGCGAATGCTGGTCATTGTAATAGTATCTGCTTGCCGGTGCGATATGCCGCACTTTACGCACGATTCGATTTGTCCACTAATCACGACAACTGCTGATGATTAGACAATTGGTAAAATCCTTTTTTGTGGCAGCCCTACTGTCCACATGAGAAAATATCTTCTCACCTACATGATATAAGTATGTCCATCAAGGGAATGTGGTAAAATGCCCATCTCAACTGCGCATAAATTAAAACTTTACATATCCAGATTTCCGTACTCATTATTTAAGGACATGATACTGTTCAACTCTTTCCAACTGAAGAAAAGCCAAAATGTAAAAGATCATCTCTATGGACTTTTTCAGTGCATGCCTTTCACTTGCAACCTTTACCAGACTTGACCCAAATGTTGAGGAAAAGTTAGATCTTTATCGGGAGAGTGCTTGCTGTTTAGAAAGAAAAAGAGAGATGCATTAATATCAACAGCACACACAAAAACAATGTCAATATTTGCAACCGAAACAGGTAAAATTTGATTTATTTGTTCATCTTCTGTCATTTACCTCAAAGGGCACATTTTCAAATTATGTACACATTTACATTTTATTCCAACTGATGGCAATGGAATCACCTAAAGCGGGTGATTCTGGATGTAATATTTCAATGACCACAACAGAAATCAAAAACGTGATAGTGCAGTTGAATTGAGCTCGCAAAAAAACAGTAAAGAAACTCTTGACTAGAAAAGGTGTGGCAAATAGGCAAAGAGAATGACATATACCATTGTTACCGATACTACCTTAAAAAATCAAAACAAAAAAATAACGGGCCATGGTGGCAGCAGCTTGTCCAGTCTCTTCAACCTCCACCAGCAGAATCCACTTCAGCAATAAAGAAAAACAGGTGCCTCTAAATTAAACGATTCTTTTGTATCATGGTGCCGGTTCACAAAGAGCTCCGTTGGAAAAACTTTCAATTTGAATAGTCTTCAATGTTTCTGGAATGTGATTGCCAATTGCTCTTTGTGGACCTTCACCGTCATTTATACATCTTGTGTTCTATTACATTTAAGAGTCTTTGAATTACTGTACATAGCTTCAACAAATTAGCTATGACCAGAATGAATTAAGCATAACTGAAAATCTCTCTCCGCTCTGATCCTTACCATGGAGTCAAGCAGGTTAAGGTGTTCAGAGAGCCATTCATCCATCACGGAAGCGCAACCTTTACCTAGAAGAAACTGTCAACAAGGTTTAGCGGTAACGAGCACCCAAGCCAACATGTCAACAAACACATGCACTATCAGAGGGGCCCTATGCAGAATTCATTAATTCTGAATAAGTCTTCGTCCACCATCAAGATGGTCAGAAGATAGAGCCATGTCTCAATTCGTGAAATCAGAGTTAAGTACTTGACCCTACATTTTAAGTGATGCGCTTGCACTCGCTGCACACTTAGTGCAGAACTCCACTGAGACATAGTTCTTGTCCACGTGGAGGCACACGCCACCAGATGTCTCTTTCTCCTCCACTTTCACACGTTTCCGTGGCAATGAGTAGTCGTGCTCGTTTGAGTCGGCGCCCTGGAAAAGCGAGGAGGATAATTTCATGCCATTCACACCGCTCAGCCGTGACAACAGCTGAGCTAACATGCTCTCATTGGCCAGCACAGCTCGCAGGTACCTGGTCTCATCTTCCAATTCTTCCACTCGTTTGATCAGTTGAGAGTTTTCGGTTTTGAGTGTGTTATTTTCCTTGGACACCATGTCCACTTTCTTTTCAAGGCTGTTAACATATTCTTTCTTTTTGAGACGATTCAACCTCGCAGCGATTGCATTTTTGTTAATCACTTGGCTTGCTTGCCGCTGCTTATTTCTGATCTTCGTGGAGGATGACCCACTCTCTGGGGAGGAGGCAGTTGTGACTTCAGCACCAGAATCTTGATTCTTGCTGCTGTAAAGCTCGCCAAGCTCCATGTCAAAGAATGGTGAGCTTCTCTCTCTATCATTAGTCCATTCTAAGTCTTCGACTCTGAAAAAGTCATCCAACTCCATTCCCATACTGTCGAAGCCATCAGTTTGAAATTCCTCCGGGAGACTTGGGTGAGCTTCTATTGTTTTCACTGCACCAGTCACTTCAACGTCCAGGGACTTTAGCGCAGTGCTGCAATTGCCTCTTCTCCTGGTTATCATTTTGTTGGAAACTGGACAGTTGATGAATGATGTCGAGCAAATGCGGAATTTAACCCTGTAAAGACAAACAGAGTAGGCATTTGCATTTCAATGTTAAGTAACTGCAATTTGGATGGATTTGCAACTGCAAGCCCAAGCATACAATTTGAGATTACTGTTCATGTTCCATCTCTTTATATGTACTTTGTTAGGTGCACACAAACATATAATTCATGATCTCCATATCAATCAAAAATGTTTTGACTTTCGACCTGTTACGTAAAAGTTACCAAATTGTCAACGTGATCTTGGCAAGCTCGTGGCCTTGCAAAACTTTAAATGGCGTGCTGGTGAATCTCTTACAGCACCGAAGTAGCAGTTACGTACGGAAAGAAATGTCGAGTCACAAACGCACAAAAGGCTTTGAGGCACCACCATTTTACACGAAGTTCTGATCTACTACCGCATGCTCTTAACGTCTGACCTACGTTCCTTCTCAACTCCAACAGGAACTAGTCGAAGCAACACAAAAAGTCCTTTAAACATCTGTACCACACAGACGTGCATTTCTTTGTTATCTAAGATTTACTTGTTATGCGTCGTTATACAACTAATACATTTATTATAAAGTTATTTTGTCGTACGCTGTAGTTTGTAGCGCCTTTAGCTAATGTTAGCTAGGCCCCGAATACCCCGAATACAACAGTTAAAAGCCCACGATAAAAAACATCAAGTTTAACCGTACATGATTGGACTGCAATTAAATTGTAGTTACAAGAGCCACTTAAGGAATTATCTATCCCACCATTTTTGAAGATGGCACCTTGTCCAAACTGCGTAGTATTTGTTAGCTTGTTTGCTAAAGCTAGTTTCACAGTACTCAGCGCTTAATGCATGGATTACGCAACAGTTTCAAACAGCGAAATCTTCGCGGTCAATTTACCTTTCTTCTCAAACGTGGATGGAGTCGCAGGTGATATAGATGGGCGACCGTGGATAGAAATATCACAGCATCAGTATATTTCGTCGTTTGCTAACAATTTGTATGTCCAATTGTGGCGTGTCCGGGAAGGCTGTGCTGAAACGCCTCCCAACGTAACCTACAAGATGGCGCGGTGCTACGTGTAGTGACGTTTGTAGTCTTTTGCCTTTGTTTGAATCAGTGAGCATACTGTACATTGTTCTTGTTTGGTTGTACACACAATTGTTTAAAGTCTCAATCTCGTCTTAATCACAATGCATGCGGGTTTCTGAACAGTACTCGTCTGTGGTGCCAAACCGAGATGATAAATGTTTATTTAAAAAGAAATCTACATATATACAGTATACTGCTCCAAAAAATAAAGGGAACACTAACAGCAAGCGGACGTGTTAACCAGTCGACGTCCGTGCAGCTTCTATCAGAATGGGCTCTTATAAGTGGTTGGTTCCTGCTTCCACATAACCTCAAAAACATGCTTCTTTAGTTAATTGATCGTGTGACTTGTTTGTCGAGATCTACACTGCGATTGACTGGTCAACAGTCCCAGTTGTCCCCACCTTGCACAAATCCAGCTGGAAAAGGCTTCAGCTCAGCCTTGACGCTAACGAGAAAAAGCGCTGTAAAAATGCATGGATGGACTCTGAATGCAACGCCAACACAACTTTTATTGACAAATGTTAATACACACCAACTTGTGACAATGCAATGGTGAAAAACGGATACGCGGAAAAGGAAAATGTTGTTTTTCTTGGTTGGTAACGGTTGTTTAAAAATAAAGTCCACAGAAAGTGTTTCTAGCAAAACGCTTCAATGTCTTTGGAGCTTTGTCATAAGAATATAATAACATTTTTGCATTCGGGACTATTGGTTTGATGTAACACATTTAAAAGTGTTGTTTTAAGACTTCCCTCTCAGCGTTAAAAATGTAATTGTTACACATGTTGTTGATATAAACCAAGCAAGAATACCAAATGGTGGTCTCCACTAACTGATGTGCTTTTAACAACAAGCTTGTGTATTTCACAACATTGTAATCAGAATCAAAAAAGCTGCAGTCCAGTTTTGAGTTTGCTGAGGTCACTGTGGCTCCAAAGAAGACCATCAGCTGTCCTTGCAGAAGCAGAAAGTCCAGAGACATTCTGTGGTGTGCTGCTCTCCATTGCCACCGGCTCGTCAGACACGATCATAGTCGAGTAATTGTCCACCATCAGGCATGAAGGCTCATCTGACTGGCCGGGGACTTTTCCAAGAGGGTAATTCTTCCATAAAACTTTGTCAATGCACACTTGCCACGAGGAGCCTCGCAACAACTTTGCTTTTTGCACCTCCGCATCTGACCATTTGTTCTCTTCTCCTGTCCACTTCTTCTGCGGTTCCGCCAGCGATGAATGGCTGTTGCGCTTTGAACGCTGCAGCTTCTCATGCAAACTCTCCAGTGTGTAAATGGGCCACTCTTCCTGCTCTGTGTGCGGCTCAGAATGTTCTGTGCGAGTGTAGATGGAGCAGAGCTGCAGTAGCCTCTGCTGGGTTTCCAGAGGAAGAGGATGCTCCATGTCCTCCAAGACAAGGTTGAGCAAGTGAGGCGTACTGGCACAGGGAGCCTCCAAGCAGGCAGACAACAGCTGCTGCCACCTCAGCTGCATGCGGTTGGCAAAAATCCTGTCCTTCAGCCTGGCTTTCTTCTGTGCCTTTGTTTCAAAGTGATACTCATTTTTGTTACTGTTACAGAGCATTACTTCCGAGATCCACGCAGAGGTGTAGTACATCCTGTGTTTGCTCTTCTCGCTGGAGAGAAGCTTCAGTTCAGCAAAGAGTTTCTCCAGGAAGAGATGAATGAAGGAGGGTGAGTTAAGTGTTTTCAGGAGGGGGAGCCAAAAACGCAGGAAAGTTGGAGGAAGTTTGGGCTCTGTGGGACAAAACGTATCACCATCAGAGCTGTCACAGCCTAATGATGACAGTTGTTGGGCAGTTGGAATTAGGAAGCCATCTTCTAAGAGGACTTCAATCAGCAACTCACCAAACTCAACAGAAAAATGTTTAATCTCACCGAGTATCCAGCTCATATCAGCTAAAGGGTCCGGCCATGTGCTCTTTTCTTTTTCTTCATGTAGCCCCCCACAAGCATCATACTGCTCCTTTTCGTAAGAGATCAGAAGTTCCCTTGCATTCTTGTAAGCCTCCCTTTCTTTTTCCCTTGCAATTAGCTCATCCTCTTGCAGTTTCATGCCCATCTCTTCGTCCTCTCCATCAGACTGTGCCTCCCAGTCCGCAGTAGACCCTCCTCCCAACTGTCTGGACCAATACTCCTGCTGGAGCCACTCCAGAACCACCTCGCACCCCTTTCGGCACAATTTCAAGGCAGGGAGTTTACGATGAGTGACGTCATGCCTTAGGTTGACGATCCATTCTGGGATGTTCAAGTTGCCGGCAAGTCTCCTTAATGAGCGGGCAATTTTTCCTTGCTGTCGTTCGGTGATCAAGTTAGTGAACCTCACCAAGGCCGCTCCATAAAGCAGAACCAGGTCATGAGAGTCCAGCTTTTCGGACCGGTCCAGCACCTGACACCTCACCAGGTCCGCGGTGCAGTCCATTGCCACAGGAGTACTGTTGGCATACCTTGCTTTCCACGCCGAAATCCTATGGAGAGCATTCCTCTGTAAAGCTGAATCCTTGGAGTAAAGATATTCCCTTACTTGATCCCATTCGGCTTTGTTGAGCCACGCTACCACATGGCGTTTTTTCTCGGAGCTCTTTTTCTTCATTTTGAAGGCTGAAAGGGTGAGTGAGCGGCGCTCTTGCAGGCTACACGAATAAGTTCAAGTCACTGGACTCCACCACAGTCTTACGGATGTTTTTTAAACTCACCGAAACGTGACGACACGGTGAAAACGTTTTACTATTTCTTTTAGGATAGCGGCTCGAGCTGGAAATGTTTTTTTTTCTTTCTTCTTCTTTTTCTTCTTCTTCGTCTTTCTTCTTCTTCTTCTTCTTCTTCTTCTTCTTCTTCTTCTTCTTCTTCTTCTTCTTCTTCTTCTTCTTCTTCTTCTTCTTCTTCTTCTTCTTTTTTCTTCTTCTAATGTTTAATTTCTAGCAGGTTGGAAACGGTCGTACTCACTCCTGCCACATGCAGACAGGACGGGGGAAAGAGTGGTACTTGAATTGTAACCACGACTGGGACGCGTCGTAACCGGGCCGTTTCATAAGATTTTGTTTATTATTATTATTTTAAGAAAGTATTAAGATATTACTTTCTAGCTGATTATAGGAACAAAAAGGCTCTGAAAAAATGTTTATTTTTTTAATTACTTGAACGTGTATGAAAGCTCTGGCCTTTCATATATATAGTGTCCTGTACTTGTTCTTCTGCTTCAATCAAGATTTTTTAAAATACATTAAGAATAACTGAACGAGCGGCGGCGTGCTTGTGGTAACGCTGTCTGCGGTCGAGGGCGCCTCCACCAATGCGCAGGCGCAGTGCACATTGCGCACTCTTGAAGAACATGGCGGCCGTTTCAAATGAGAAGGAGCGGGCTGAGCGCATTTATACACGCCTTCTGGTAAGTTATTTACTTCGCGAAGGTTTAAATAGTCAGTACACGTTGGAATAAAATACAGCATTTTGTCGCATCTTCCCTGACTTCTGTTTTGTCTTGATGAGAATATTTCAGATAACAAACGTAAACAACGCCGAGCGAAGCAACTGCAGCACATTGCGTTGTTATCGTTTTGAGATCACTGGGTCCAAGTTAAATCCATCGTATAGATACTGTGCAGTATTTGCTGCATACGTTCAGTTGCCATACCATTTCTTTTGTGATTTCAAAATTCTCGGGGAAAATCCTCAACCAGCTTCAATACCTCTGACACCCGACAAATTCCACTGATATAAGATGTCTTTGTCTTTTTTGAGGCTGTTCCATGTCCCGTTCTGGAAGGTGTGTGCATGGAGGAGTCTGAGGACATACTTCAGCTCCTCTGCACTCCATCCCAGCTTCGTACCGACATACTGACCTGGATGTGCTGCAGGTTAGGACAAAGTGGACATAAGATGCATGTATATGCACATCAACTACATCTAATGATGTGTTAACGTGACTGCTTCTGTCTTCTCAGGATTGACCCAAACTTTGCCAGTTTGAAAGGAAAGGCATCAAGAACCCAAGACCTTGATATTTTGACAAATGGTAACACGCTGGTCTTTGAATTATTTGCATGCCTGATGACAAGTGCAGAACCTTGCAGTTCTCAATTTAGCTAAGCTTGAGGTTAATAAAATTGTGGAAGGTCAAAAATGACAAGCAAATTGCCGTGTTTTTGTGACCGCTATAATGTAAACAAGGCTGAACTATTTTGACAAATTATCCAATGATGACTGTTTTTTCCTCAATATTGTGCTTGTGATTTAAAATGCAATTATTTAATCAATGTTAGCTCCCCATGTATTTTTAACAAACAACTATTAAATTAAGCTTTGTTACGGCTGCACAATATTGGAAAAACATGCGAGATGTGATTTCGGTGTTGGATATTGCGATATCAATATTAATACAATATTTAACAAGTACTTAAATAAATGGCATTTGTATTATCTAATGAAATAAACATTTTCATGTGGCAAAATAATCAAGTTATCTTTATTCATAGCTAATTAATTGTAAAAACGTATTTTTTATGTACATATGTTTTAAAATCTCAGTGTTGGGATATATATATATATACACACATGTATACACAGTATATACAGTATATATATCTCACACACACACAATGTAGAGCATTTTTTAAAATAGCAGCCTTTGTGCTGTGCATTCTACTCCATTGTGATGTCGATTTGAATTCAAGAGATTAGTATGGATGTTGCCATAGCAACAGTTCTGCATGTGTTTTGTCTTTCTAAACAGGGATGGCTGCACTTGGCCAGGATCTGTTGCTGTGCAGAGTAGACAGCCTGGACTTAATCAAGGTGGGAAGATACTGTGAGGTCAACCTTGTCTTCCGTTGTCTGACTCAGTGTGCACCATCACTTCTCAGCGATACAATGAATACTTAGTACACTAAATCTTGATTTGTTTCCATATCCATTTTCCCTCCAGGGTGAAGCCAGTTGCCAGCAGCAGCTTCAGTTCCTGGAGAAACTTCTTGCTGAGGTCTCGGACTTCAGTATGTCCACTGCGCACGATATGAAGATGCAACTCAACGCACTCTTTGCTGACGAGAATCTTCATCTTGCGCAAATGGTCACACCTTCGCTGGACCATTGTTTTTCAAACGACACGTATGTTACACTCTTCCCCCACAGGCTTCGTGTCTTGAGTCGTTTTCTTCATTAGCTACAAACCTTCCTAACAATATTTGTATCACAGGGTTATACACAAGGGTGCCAAAACGCCCAAGCCAAGAAGAGACAACTCTGAGAGCATCGCCACCCTTCTACAGTCTACTCGCTCCATGCTGGAGCAGCTACAGTCTGAGGTGTGACCTTTATTTATGCTGAGTCATAGGAGCAAAAGTATAATCGCTATTACCCGATAAAGATTTCATTTCAGTCAACATTAGCAGAAATGTGATGTGATTTCACACTTGGTGGTTGCGGGGGGCACACGGCACAGATTGGGACACTTTTATACAAGCCATTCAAAAGTTACATTTCCCGAATCTGTTGCCTTGAGTGTCGAGTATGAATAGGGCAGGTAATGTTTGCCCCAATGTTAAAAGTGCTTTCTGCTCTTCCCGACTCGGTGCAAGTTCGTGACAACAAATGAGGCGCCAAATGCCCGTCTCTTCACTTCCCGTGCGCTCCATGTGACGGTGTGCGACCTCCAGCAGCTGATGACCACTTTCTGCCACGTCTACGAGACACACCTGAGTGTTTTTTGTACGAGAGAGCCACCGAGCTTTAGTGCCGATACACTGGTCTTCCAGAGCGTATATGAACGTTTGCAAGCTTGCTGCATGGTATATACACACACATACAAACAAACACAAGCACAGAGTTTGTCCAAGATGAAACAGGACCTCACTTGAATGCGTCTTTCTGCAGGAGTTGGAAATGCTGAATGAAGCATCGGACGCATCAGCGTCTGTGAAGCAGGAAGTGAGCCAGCTGCAAATAAAGCGTTGTTGCGCTAGCCAAGGAAAGGGCACTTTACGTGAGTCTCGGCACACTTATCATACACCATTAGACAAGTTGCTATTATTGTTGCCATATTTTCTACTCAACTAGAGCTGTGACTCTGAACTGTTTTGCCACTGGTATGCCGCGAGAGATTGTCAAGCAAAAATGAAATTGTCCAATGTCACTTAGTCAGCCACACACCGAGTTATGTGGCCAAATTGGTCAAGTGTGAACAAATTACAGCAACTGGAAGAGCCACAGGCATAGAATTGGACGTAGATGAAAACAGAAAAACGTGTGTGTGTGTGTGTGTGTGTGTGTGTGGGTGTGGACATACACACCCACACACAATAGGCCTATTTTAATATTCATTTAATATTGTGGCTCTTACAAAATGATTATTTAATCATCTAGATTGTATTTCAGTGTGGTTCTTTTGTGAATTCCATAACCTGAAGATTTTCTTTTCATTATTTGGAAAAATAATTGTATTCTGTTTCACAGATGATCACCTGGAAAAACTAACCAGAAGAATCAAAGCGCTTCTCGCCCACCTTTGTGCGGCCAACAATAGTTTAGCGTAGATTATTTTGATCTCTTTATTTGTACAGGGAATTATTATTGTATAGTTATGTTGTTTTAAGCTTTCTTAGAAAATAAAGGCTATTAAATAAACAGTGGACTGTGACCCATTGAGATACATCTGCACTAGTTAGGATTACGGCATCCTGTCGCCATAAAGCCAAAGCAACCCAGCAGTACTTTGTTTTCATAATGTTAATATTTTAAACCCTATATCTACCACAAAATATGATCACCAAACACTTGAGAAGGGAATCACAGCAGTTGCAAACGATAGATGGTATTTTGCCACCAAAAATGTAAGATTTTTACGGGAAAAACGGGATCTTGCATGCGTAAAAATTGTTTTGGTTTCAGCCGTTTCCATTTTTGAATGTGTGAAAGGCGTATACTTAATTTTGCATTGTTGACATTCAAAATAATCCTGATGCAATGCTTAAGGCTCACAGTTTGGTGCTTTTTCATGCGGAATTGTGGTGTCACGAGTACAAGAAATTAGATACAGTCGTGTATTTACAATTGTTAATACTTTATAAACATATGGAATCATTACCAACATCTCAGACACGAAAACTTGTGACAGAGCCTGGTTCGCATGGCCATGCAGCCATTATACATTTATGGAGTTCTCAGAGTCCAAGCAGCGTGTCACTTTTTGTCTCGTGGTACACGCGAGTGTCTCCGACACAGGCAGGTTTCCACCGGGCGCTTTCAAAAGCCTTTACTGGTCAACCATTCCTTCAGCTCTTTGTCAAAATGTCCTTTCACCCTCAGTGTCATCGTGACCTCGTTGACCTGAGTGGGCATTTCTTTGCCAGTCACGTCCTTCAGGTACTGTTTCACGTCTTTCTCCAGAGCCCAGATGTCGCCCTCGACCTTCCGGACCAAAGTCATAAAGCGGTTACCGTGGGTCACGTCCGTGTACACCGGTATGTTGTGCATGCGTGAGCGGCGAATCATGTAAGGAAGAGACGGCGAAGATTCTGCCGGCGGGGTCCAGCCGGACGGCGTTGGCCCGGAGTGCTTGGGCGGAGAGGGTACACGTGACGGCGGGATGAGACGCTCGACGAATTCATATTCCTCGGTGGACTCTTCGAATGGGGCTTTTGTGGCGAAGAAGGCTCTGGGGCCCACGATCGCATTGGGAGAGCCTCGGTGTAAACCAATGGCTCCACGCAACGCCGCCGAACGAAAGGCGAAATACGCCGCCATGACTGAGTGGAGGCGGTCCGTGGGGCGGAAGTACTGTGATCCAAAAGATCACGATCCTCTGCTTCATTGAGGAAGAGCAATGCCCCCTGCTGGTCAACCTTGAAACACTGCTCTAAAGTGGGGTCAGGGCCAAGTTAAACTTCTTCCTGTCAGAAGCCCTGCTCGATGTTTAAAACCCAAATTATAATATGCGTTCCATGAAAAATATATTGACAGTAATACAAGGCAACTTTATTCATAGAGCATTTTTCATACAGAAGATAGCTCAGTGTGCTTGCTTCACATAACCAAAAGCACAACATCTAAAAAGGGGGTGTCAAACTCATTGTCGTTAGTTTCCTATGGATTGCCGTTATGGACTGTGAACCCAGATAAATGTATGATCACCTCATATTCCATATCGCTGGCATTGGGCAGAATTCTCCTACCTCCCGAATCATCACATTTCATGGCACCCCCAAAATGCCATGTTTGTTCAATCATTAGTATTGCGTCATCAAGAGAAAGCCATTTTAAACACTTTAGACTGCTCCATAATTTATAAATATAACACTCACACGTGTGAACTGACCAATAATATAGATTTGTGAAAAAGTATGACATTTTCCAAATTGACATGAGAGGTTTCAGCCTAACTTCAGCGATATACACAACAAATTGATTAATATCTAATTTTGAAGGGGTGTGGTGGCTTCCAGTTAATTTTAGCCAAGCCACAGTTCTGTCCATCTTTCATGTCTCCAAGCAGTTTTTTAAAAAAATTTCAATTGTTTCAGTATTTTATTTTGATTACTGTTTTTATGTTATTAATTGATTGTTTTAACTGTCTTTGTTTTTATAGGTCTCATTCTTATTTTATGTACAGCACTTTGTATGCAACTGTGATTGTTTTAAAGTGCTCTATAAATAAAGTTGAGTGAAACAATATAAACGTTTAATTGCATTATTACATTTTTGTAACAAATTGATGAATACTACATATTTTAAAATCCAAAGTTGAGGAGAATGTTTTTTCAACTGTTGTTCAAGTTGCTATTAAAATTGGTTTGGTAAGAATTGAGCTATTTCATTGTTATTATTTATTATAAATTGAAATGTTGGTCTAGATTTTAGCAAGAAACAACGATTTGCTTTTGTGGGCCACATCAACTTATCTGGTTGGCCAGATCACGCCCTTATTCCTTGTGTTTGATATTGTGGTTTAGCCCAACCAAGGGGCGGGGTCACACTCTCAGAGGATGGGCTGAAACATGTGCGAATGAATTTTACACTGTGATCTTCCTTCCAAGAGTCAGAGCGGGGCCCCTTAGTGTAACCTGAGGAACTTCTTGGCTTGCTCATCCTGTCTGTCTCCTCAGCTTTTTTGTTTTCTTTCTTTCTCTTCAGTTTCAGGAGTGTTGCCCTGAGACCGCCTTTTGTCATACTTTAGGCATCAACAGCAAGAAGGGGAGCAACTTATCTGAGAAGGCAATATGGACAGAGAATACACACGCAACGGGGAGACCATCGCCCTCAATAAACCCAATGACATAGAGGTAAGATACTGTAGATAGATAGATAGATAGATAGATAGATAGATAGATAGATAGATAGATAGATAGATAGATAGATAGATAGATAGATAGATAGATAGATAGATAGATAGAGCTCTTGTAGTTCTAAAAGGATGCCAGAGTGACAAACAGTTCAGTGAATTTTATTCCACTAATAACCAGAAATGAATGAGAGTGTTGTGACTCAAAGAAAGTTGTATTTTTAGTGTCATGTCACACTTACCTGTGCAACAGGATTTTGTAAATACATGGAAAAATGCCTTGGGCCTACCTACATGTGTTAGCGTGTGCGTGTGAGTGTGTGTAAACAAAAGCCAACCATCCAGAAGTTTCCCCTCATATTTTTTTTTAATCTATAGCTCCTATTTTTCACTGTGATTGTCCAAAAAACTGAATACTGTACAGCAGTTGAGTTCTGGTAAATCTGTCGGTTAACATGCGTTGTTTTCTCGCCAGGTGAGTCACTTACTTACACTGTGTGTGTGTGTGTGTGTGTGTGTGTGTGTGTGTGTGTGTGTGTGTGTGTGTGTGTGCGTGTGCGTGTGTGTGCCACTCCCTCCACATCTAAGTGCCTAGGGACAAAACAAACATGCACCTCTCTGGGGTTTGGAACAGAGAGAAAGTCCCATATGTACTGTTATTGGAGCAGGACAGTCAAATAATTGTTGCGCAGACACAGATTGATGGATATTTTTTTTAAATCAGACATAAAAAAGGGCTATGGTAACTATAATGAATTCTAATTAAATGTGTAAAGGTAATGCAGCTGGCTAGCGACCTGGGTTATATTTTTGGATTTTTCATTAGAGTTTTGTTTTGACTTTTGTTTTTTGTCTTTTTAGAGCAGATTTATTAGTTGTTGTTGTTTTTTTTTTTAAAGTAAATGATACTAAATTTCCCAAATATATGGCAATACGGAAACAAATACAAATAAAATGATCTCAGAAAGCTAACGGATATTACTTGACAAAGGTGAAAACAAAGGAGATTTTTCGCAATAGTTTACTTTTACAAACTAAAGATGCAGTGTCATTGATTTTTCATTTTCGAAACGTTTTTATGTTTTTATTTTATTTCGTGAACAAAAATGTTTTTTTACAATTGCCGGGATTGGCTCTAGCTCACCCTAATGAGGACACGTACTATAGAAAAGGAATGGATGGATGTTCAAAGTGAACTAAAGAAATACGACGAGTCGTTCACACCTGCGGTGTCCTCCACAGGTGATGACATCGCCGTCAGGCAAAGTGTATCGGCCCATCAACATGAACCACTACGCCACCAAGAAAAGTGCAGCTCAGAGCATGCTGGACGTGGCCTTATTGATGGCCAACTCGTCCCAGCTTAAGACAGTTCTCTACGTGGGGCCTCAGTACCGTTTCTACATCCCCCTTATCATCTTACTGTGTCTGTCCATCACGCTGCAAGTCATCGTGGGCCTTCTGCTCGTTTTTATAGGCAAGTAACTGACAGGCCTGCTCTGGTTTTGTCGACGATTTCATGTGTTATTTTGACCCGGCAACATTTTCCTCGAGTCTTCTTTCTGTATCCGTAATTGTTTTGTTTTGCTTCGACTCTGTGGCAACAGTGAAGTACGATCTGAACGACGTGCGTAAACATGCCAAGTTGAACAGGATGAATAATGTGGCAACTGTTTTGGTCTTCTTCACGGTCCTCATCAACATCTTTATCACAGCGCTGGGCTTTGAGGGACACGCTCTCAGGTACAGGCCGCAAAACACACACAGGACACACAGTCCCAGTTTTTGCTTTAATCATGACACCTTCTTCTTTTTCCTTTTCAGGCCATCACATCATAGCATGATGGTTGAAGCAGCACCTCAGAAGTCCCTTCAACCATCTGAACGCAACACGACTGGCCTTTGAACCAGCACTTTTAATCTGTGATCGAATGCAAAGTTTGCACGTTACACATCACGTGACAGTTTTTCAATTTGTACATAGAGCTTTGGTTTGCCACTCCAAATGTTGCATAATTCATGATTTTCTATCAACATACTGCCTCTATGCGTGTGTTACTATGAAATGACCATATATTTGTCTTATACTGACATGTCAGCATTGTTGTTATCGCCGATGTAAATTGCAAGGGGCCATCTTTTCATTGGTATTGCTGAATAGCAAAGGAACAACACATTAGGATTCAGTACCAACACACTGCTTGTATTGGGAAAGGCCCTCATTTATTTGAAATGAAACGAGATGAAGGAAGAGGAGGTGGAATTACAACATCTATCTTGTCGACCATTTAAAAAAAAAAAAAAAAACATTCAGCTAGAACTCATCACATTACATAAACAAAAGTGCCGTAATATGACACCTGGCAGGCACCTACATGAAGTGAGCATGGTGGTTTTTATTTACAGTACAGCAATAACTGCTTCGACTGCAGTTATTTAAACATATTTAAAAGTATTTACTGTAAAGTCTAACGCCTAGTTGATTAAGACACAAATCACAAAACCTTGTGCATATTTTAGAGATTTTCTTTCCCAATCTTTACTGGGCCAAAGCACATCTTTTCCAAAAGAAAAATCTCACACTACTCCACTAAACAAAAGTATCACAAAAGGGTTAAAATATAAAACCTGAAATATTGATCTCATCTTATTTTAATATGTGCAGTGTGAAAGCAGTTGTCAGAATGACTCATCACATTACATAAACAAAAGTGCCGTAATATGACACCTGGCAGGCACCTACATGAAGTGAGCATGGTGGTTTTTATTTACAGTACAGCAATAACTGCTTCGACTGCAGTTATTTAAACATATTTAAAAGTATTTACTGTAAAGTCTAACGCCTAGTTGATTAAGACACAAATCACAAAACCTTGTGCATATTTTAGAGATTTTCTTTCCCAATCTTTACTGGGCCAAAGCACATCTTTTCCAAAAGAAAAATCTCACACTACTCCACTAAACAAAAGTATCACAAAAGGGTTAAAATATAAAACCTGAAATATTGATCTCATCTTATTTTAATATGTGCAGTGTGAAAGCAGTTGTCAGAATGACAACATGCATATTACCGCCATGAATTAGACCCGTTGCCGTCTTGCTAGAAGATAATATTTTGCTTGTCACTATACATCGCTGGCATAGATAAGCAAACATAAATTAGGATTATAGCAAATAATTTAGTAAAATCATTGACCGTTTCACAGCACCCCTGATGAGAGCACAGTGTTGGGATTCAAGTGTTTACTTTCGAGTTTGTAGTGAAATACAATAAGTGATGATGTATGGTTTGACATGATTTGGACAGCCATTTACTGTACAAATATAAAAAAGTGTTTTTATTTTAAAAAAACCCAACATGACACAATCATATACATAATCAATACAAATATCTTTTAGACCAACAAAACAAAGCCTTAAAAGCAATGACAACATTTAAAACAAAGGACTATATCATGTTCCAGAAAAAAAACAAAGCAAGAAATTCAAATTAACAATTAAAAATGTTTCATTTGTATTTCTCTCACCACAGTGGATCTAAAAAGTATACACACCCATGCTCAAATTATATATTTTTGCGATATGAGATAAATGAGACCAAAATGAATGATTTAAAAAAAAAAAAACACACCATTAAATGAGACCTATAAAACTCAAGTGAATCAACACCAACAAAAAATATTTTAGCAAGCAACAGTAAGAGTAAACCCCTGAGATCAGGTAGGGGCGTGGCTGCCTTCAGAAGACAAAATAGTGTTAAATGGGATCCAGTACACACCGAAGGCTTGATTTTGAATTAAAAACAAACAAACAAAAAAAAAACTTAAATGTCCCAAATGCATGTGGTAGAACAATTATATTCCAACGAAAGAAAGGTCAACCTTTTGTGCTAAAATTCTAAAAGGTATATGTTTGCCAGAAACCCAACAATGTTCATCACCAAATGAACACAAAACTACCAACACTGGAGTGTACTGGTGGTAGTGTTACGCTTCGGGGCTATTTTTCTTCATGAGGCCCTAGTTAAGGTGGACCGAATTATGAAGAGCTCCATTGAACACCTGTGGGGTGTTGTAGAGATTATTGCCTGCGGAATCCAAAAGATTTGATGCAATTTTGCAATGCAAACTTGGGCAGGTGTCACATCAAAACATGCCACACCGACTGACTTCTACCCAAAAAGAGAGTACCCTAATATAAGACAGAGGTGCACCAACAAAGGGTTAGATTGGGGGTGTCCATATTTATGCAACTTTATTTTTTTCCCCCTCGGAAAAAAAAAAAAGTTTAACAGGTCATAGGTCAAATTAATGGTGGAAAAAAGTTGCAAAATGGTTTATCTTGGTCTCATTTTTCATGTCACAACAATTTGAAATTTGGACAGGGGCCTGTATTATTTTCAGACCCACTACATCTTAAAGGCTCAGTGTGTTAAAGAGCAAGGCCCAGTTTTTTTTTTTTTTTTTTACAAGTGAACTTATTAACTGCCACTGACGTGACAGTTGTCAAGGATTCATTTTCAACTGGGCTGGCAGTGAATTCATCAATCTAGATCTGAGTTTTGCAAATGACCTGGCATCTTTGAAGTGGTCGTTTATCGATCATTGAAGCTTGAAAGGATTTTCGTCTTTGGTCATGTGACAGTAAATGTAGTAGGCAGCTGCTACCACTGCTAGTAGCAGTAGTATTCTTATCACACCCCACATGCTGCAGCCAGATTGGACGGTCTCCTTGGAGTGCTCGGCGTTCTGATTGGCTGCTCTGCTCTTGCGCAGGATGGGCCTGTAGCACAGGAGGGGGTGACGACGAGTCTATTAAGTCATTTGCTGTGATGCAAAAAGTTTCCAGACGTACCGTTTGTCTGCGTCTGATTCCTCATCGTCATATGGTTCATTGTTGTATCTCCTTCTGAGCCTGGATGGAAAAACAATTCACTTTCTTATAGAAATCGTAATGACACTGAAAACGTGCCTCATACTATTATTTTTATTTTTTAAGGAGACATATTAATACATATCCCTCCATAATTTCAATGAGCTCCCTAGTGCCTTACCCTGTCTGTGACATGCAATGAAAAGAAGATAGAGTTCACCAACGCCCCGGTTCGCAAACAAATGGTTTTCCTAACATTTTCAGACACGTCACATGTTTCACATCTTTTTGTTGTTGTTGTTTTACTCTGAATTAGTCCTCAGTATAGATGCTATGAAAGCGAAAATTACAAGTGATCATTCTACTAGGAAGCCCTCAAAATGTTTTTCTGAGTCCCGCTCCCAGCCTGCTGTCTCAACAATGCATGCTCACCTCCTCTCGGGTGTGTCGTCCGAGGCCCGAGCTGTCCGGGTGCACCGTTGTCCACTCCTTGCTAGGCGGCTGCATGCTAATATGACGTAGTTCTGGGGCAGGAACGGATTACCGTAATTTCTCTATAAAACGCCCCCAGTAGAATACGGTCCTCAAAAATCACATTTTAAAAGCTACCCCTCCGCCCCTTTGCACTTGTGTATATGTCCCCCGATCTGCTGGTATCCTTTATTATTAGAATGAATAGTATGAATTCATAAATATTCAAATCATACAAATAAAACGTGTATACTTTTAAAACCAGATTTAAAACTATGCTATTTTCCTATACTGTACCTATAAAGAAGGTCTTTCAAATCATTTTTAAAATGACAAAATGTTGGTCTGGCACTTGGCACTCTTAGTAATTTTAGTAAGATTTTTATTTCTTTACTTTACCTTAAAATGTAAAATAAAACATTATTTGGCAGTGAAAAACAATCGTTACAATGTTAGGTGACATTATAAGATGCAAATAGCAAGCTACTAAGCTACTCTTATCCTATGTCTTTCCTTGCTCCTACTGTCTCTACAATAAGCCGCTCTCGTACAACTCTAATTGCCCCACGGGAATAAATAAAGTTTTCTGAATCTGAATCTGAATCTGAATAGCAAACACCACGCCCTTGTGGGCGCAAACTAAGTGCAGCAAACGCTGTTGCCAATGCTAATGAGCTAATGTTGTAAACTGATCCACGACCATAGGGACTATTATTACTCCATGAAAAAGCACAGATGCACATACTTTTCGTTATTTGCTAAGCACTCAGAAGAACATTAATTAGGTAAGTAATAAGGAATATAAGGCAACTAAGCTCTTATTTCGCTGATCTGTTGCAACCGCACCCGAAACAGGAAATATAACAAAGTGAGACAACTTATTTCATGAAATCCATTTGTAACATTATACATTACATATAATTTTGGAATGAAAGTACACTTTTTTTAAGAACCCAGAGTTATTGATAAACCTCGATACAATGTGAAAATTTCTCTCTCTCTTTTTTTTTTTCCACTGGCCCCTTGTACAATACTCCCCCTGCATTTTTGATCATTTTGGCAGAAAAAACAATGCAAATTATTCACAGAAAATTATGGTCATTTTTACTGAAGGCTTGGAATAAATTAAGTTCATACTCAACTGAACATACTTTTATAGTGTTACAGAAAAACAAGCTGTTTCTTCCATCCTGCCCCATATTCTGCTGGCCCAATGGTGAGACTGGCTTTCATTAAATGTCTCATTGGGCAAGTGTGTGCGTGATACTTGCTCACATTTATTAGAAGCTAATGCTATCCATCAGTAAATTGTCAACTAAAGAAAGATCAATGAAGCGCTGCTTAACTTTACCCTATGACGTAACCTTAACATTCTTAATTGTTACACAAGCTAACTTGGTCGGGCAGGTTTTCATGGGACTCCACCCAGCAGGACACACAATAGAATAGTCTGACAAGGTGTGAGTGTGAGCACACCGTGCATCTTGCGTATGCGTGTGGTAACACGTGCACTCACATGTCTTCATAACCTTCATGTCTGACCTGTGAAAATGAAAGCAGGATGAAATGTAAATGTAAGATGACTGACCTTCTATCAAAACAGAAGTGAGGAACAAATACAAATCTATATGTGGTCAGCTGCTACACTCACCGGGCTACGGTACGTGACGTACGTAATTTCCTCTTCTGTGAAGACATACAAACAAATCAGAACACTTTCAGTGTGGTCACTAATTTCTGGACTTGTTGGTCCACCAACCGAGCAGAGGTTAGTCTTATTTGGAATACGTTCACCGTTTATAAGCTTAAAGCAGACATGATACGCATGACTTTATACAATTTAATGAAGGAATACAGAAATAAAACAGTCCCCAGGTCTCTTAATAACATGTCTTAGCATGTGACATGTTGTCATGGTAACAAAAGTCAAACTCAGCGTAGGCCCGAACAAGAGAGGAGGTGGTGCAGCCTCATTTGCTTCAAACCAGACTAATTTCCGGAGTGCCAGAAAAGTGTGCTACAATTGCGCATTTTGAGTGAAGCATGTTAATTAGTTGAAGTTGAATTAAGGGAACATCTTTAAATTGTTGAGAGAAAACAAAAATCATGTCACCTTTTAGAAGACGTTGACAAAGAAAGGCACAAATTTAGATTGAAAGCCAGAGCCTAACACAAACCTTAATTAAACTCAAAGGCTGAATGCATCAAAACTCGCTACATTTGAAGTTTGACCCAATATTATCAGGAAAAATAGGCCTTCAATCTCACAATTTTGGACATCAAACAGTCATGATTGGTGACATTACCAAATTGAGTGAGGCTCATTGGACCTCATTTCAGCTAGCAGAAAAGTATTATCTCTGCTCTGCATGTGTGCTTTTTTTGTGGCAAATTTTCTAAAAGAACGCGAGAGGTGCGCACCAGAAATTACCGCGGAGTGCGATGACTCATTCACAGCAGTCAAGTACAACATTACATTGTCAAGCCACTTGGAGATGACTAATTGTTCTATTCACTCATGTCTAGCACTGTTACTGGTTTTATTTTAGGAGGTATCTACTTCCTGTTTTTATTCTCATTCCCATAGGCTTCTTCAGACTCTCAGCCTGATCAGGTATTAAATATGCGAATAAAGGACTTTGGTTTGCATCTTCTGTGACTGGTGTCCTGCATTTGAGTCTCATATAGTGGTAACATTTGACAAGCAGCAGCACTGAGTGAAGATTCTTCACAGACTATCCTTGCTATCTACCATATGATTGTCACTTTTGATTAAAAGGCAGTGTGTCACAGTAAGTGTCTTGCTTGAAGGCTTGACATTACATTAAGCGTTGATTTCATTTTATACATGGATGACTATTTCAGAATGAGATGTATGAGGCACATCAGTGCACCAATTACCCCTCCTTACTCCAGAAGTGGACATATTATGGAAAATTGAATTTTTAATGGCTTGTTTACAAATAGTTGGGTGTCTGAAATGCTTGCCCGGTTATCAAGTGTAAAATTAAATAATGAAGTGAATATATTCATTCCTGAAAACTCACTTCCACGTCATTGTAATGTAACAGGGGGTTCATTTACATAGTTATTTTGTACCCTCCACAACGCGTCTCTCATATGATCAGCTAAGTTGGACAAAGATCAAGAGCCACTTTCAATCGACGGGCAGACTACAGTCTAAACATTATCGTACAGAAACATCCACGTCCCTCATCCCTGCTACCATGTCAAAGCCAAAAGGTAAGCAGAGCTGCATTGAATTTGGTTGGATGCACAGTTTTGAGTTAGCTAAAAGCATTAGCTTCTGATAAATGAGACATACTTGATTACTAAAGAATATAGTGGCAAGAGGGTACTTTTTTAGACTACATACAAGAGTACAAATTATGATATAATTCTTCACCCTTGGGGTATTTTGATGATATTAAGTCACACATCATTAAAACAACTGGGAATACATTTTACATTGTGAAAATACACAATTTCTCACATATTGTTTTTAGACTGACAGTTTAACTTCCAAGTATAATTGTATGGCAAATTAAATGTTTCTCAATGGGGAATATACAGTCAAAATTACGATGCCAAAAGTTTTGATTCTTGAATGAATTATTCCAAATATCATTGAATGGATTGATATTTGTTAAAGTCTGTTAAAACAGCAGAACATAATTGTTTTCAATCTCCTGTTATTGTCCATATTCCAAACGACCCATTGAGTGAACACTGGAGCATCTTACCTTCCTCTCTGTAGTAAGTCTTATCAGAGGAGGTTTTCACTGGCAGTTTTTCCATGGCCCTCTCAAGCTTCTTCACATACAACTTGCGAGTAGAGTCTAGTCACAGATGCATGTCAACAGTTATGAATACAAACTTCAAAACTCCTACAAAAATTGCACAAACCTGAATGACGTGGCTTAATTGTGTTAGCAGAACATTCGGTGTAGTACCACGAAATGCAGTGCAGTAATTGGAGGGGAGGGCAAGGGGGGAATACACGTTTACAGTCAAATTGATTACTTCATGTTTGTTGCACTTCATAAGGTGGAACAAATTAGCCTAGTTGCATTTGTTAAAAGTGAATTTACACAAGAGAAGAAAATCAATGAGCACGTTTATGACTTGAGTTAGTTTGAAAATATCAATTTCTTACCAACTATGGGTCCATGTTTGATGCCGTACTCGGTAAGCAACTTGCTGAGCTCTTCATCGCTTTTGCCACTCAAAGACATTCTGCACAATGACAGAGATAATATTCGTTTGATAGATTCGATGGATAGATACGTAAATGGGCGAGTTTAGAGAAGCGAAAAAAAATCATGGATTGGGAACCGAAACGAACGACCACAAAATACTTATCGGCTAATGATATGAAAAGATAGAAACTTACTTTTGAAACAGAGGTGAAAAAAAGTTTCGCCAAGGAGAAAAAAATGGTCCCAGCCAGACAAGTTTTGGATTGAAAAGGAAGACGGCGTAGGGCGTGTCCATCGGGAGACGTCACATGGTCGGCCCAATCAGCCACCTCATACTCACAGTTGTTTGAATTTGATTTTGGAAATATTTTTTCCTTAGGATCGAATTAGAAATGTTTCTTTTCGAACCACGTCTCTGACTCTTTTGAATTTGCATTTTCCATGCACACATTTTTAAGAACATCATCATAATTGGCTGTATCAAATTCTGAACCCGTTTCAAAATACATCAACAATCTTAACACTAAATGGTCGATTAATCCTTAATCAGTGTTTCAGAAAAAAGGACAAATGTATTTGTCCAGGTGCAGCTCTCGCACCTGTCTTTTCACTTACTTTTGTTCCTGATGTTTAGTTTGTATATTAGTCTTCTGTTTCGAGATTTCCACGACCCTTCAAAGACGAGCATAAGTTTCTTCGGGGACCTGCGCAAATGAAAACACAGTTGTCAAGACTGTTTTCAGGCTCCCTCGGAGATGATTTTGCCTCTGTTCTTTTAAAAAAGATCCATGGTATAATATAGGACGGCTGTGGAAGGATTATTATACAGTATTCCATTCCCATTAGGTACGTGCCTTTCAGAGTAGTGTTTTAGTGGGCTTTAACCTCATGTAGGCCTATGATTAGAATGCAATCGTGTGTGTGGTCAACTATTGTGTGTGAATACGTGTGTGCAAAAGGTGTGCTTGCATAATTTCCAGTACTGTACAGTATGAAATATCCAATGAGCTCAACAGATCATTTGTATGCATTTTCAGTTTTTGTCCTCCGTGTGTCGCCCAAGGACCACAAACGATTCCCTCTTGTAACGATCTTCACATTGCTTACTTTCAAATAACTCTTGGGATTTTCAGTATTTGTGGCAGGGAAGGGGGTGGGGCACGGGGAATAAGGCTTGTGTTGTTCCAAACTCAGCAAGTTTAAAGCCCTGTTAGGACTACGAGCAGTGTATTGTTCCAATCGTAATCAACAGGCAATTGGGCTGTTCCTCGTGCAGTCTAAGGCAGTCGAGATAACATTCCGATCATTTGCGGATGTCCTGGCTTTGGCAGTTTGGTTTCTTCCACTGAAGAACTGACAGTGGGGTTAATCTGGCTTATGACATTTAGGATCATGCGTTGATAGAGAACAGACATATTAGCAGGTGTCCATGCCGGGTTGCCATGAGTTGAGTCTTTTGCGATGACAGGGAGACCAGACCTCACGCTATAGATTTATGGCCGATGGAGGTTATGGAATGTGGTTTCATGCAAATAGTTACGGTCGTACTTAACTAGTTTACTAAACATTCCGGAGACGTAACAGAGCTCCGTAGAAAACCAAGGGCCATCAATTACAAACCTTAGGTGGGTAGGTAACATTACCATACCATACAAAAATCTGTGTCCACTAATTATATTCGTGAGGCTCTACACTACTACGTTAAAAAAATAAAATAAAATTCTCTTACAAAAGGACCACCAAGTTCTATAACTTTGACATTCAGATCAACAGGAAGCTGGGAAATGGATGCTTTATATTTCCATTTACAAGGTGAAGCCTAGAAATAAGGCAATGTGAAACCAACATTTATGTTGATTGGAATAAATAGGCATCACACTCAGAAGAATACTAGACAACAACTTTATTGGGTATCAAAATACTGTCTTACAAACATTTAAAAGCATTTTTATTCTGGACAAAGTCATGATTTTGTAGAGATAAGAGCTATGGGGAGTGTGGGGGTGGGGGACAAAAAATGTGAGAACACTGAGAAAAGTAACATTTTTTGGTCACCATTTTGAAAACAATGTGATGAAGCATAACATCGTCCAGCATTTTTAAATTCTTCCCTTTTTAAAAGACAACACATCAGGTTGGTGTTATCCTGAATCTGAGGGCGTTTTGCAGAGAAATGAACATGCAGCGGCATGAAACACACAGAAAAGCATTGTTGTTGTTGTGAGCGTGTGACACAAACTCTGCGTTAGAGTACTACCTGTTAATCTAATGTTTTATTCAATGTTTAATTAGACCTCTACTCTAATGTGCATCATTTTAATAACAGCAGTGCCTAAAACTGGGTCACACTATCAGCAGGTAAAACAACCGTGTTATCAAAAAGAAAAAGGCATCACACACCCATACTGAGCGGACGAGGCATTTTCCGATTACCATCCACCACCACAAGAAAACCACACCTGTTCAACATGAGCAAATTACATTTTATATGGACAATGAAAGAGTGTCATTTGATCAAACACAGCAAGGCGCACTGAGCACTCTCACTTCATTGCAGTTCTTGTTCATATAAAAGGTAAACCTCTGTATGGGACCAGCCTCAGTGGGAGGCATTATGCACAGTCATTCACTGGTAGCCCAGGTTAAAAAAAAAGGGGAGGGGGGTAAATTGGACCTTGGACTTCCATGGCCATCAATGGCAGTGAATGAGTTAGGCCCAAGCCAAAATTTTCAATTGAAAAATATACGGTAAAGTCAACTATTAGTTCACAATCATTAAAAGGTGCCTTATTCTCCTTCCCGATACCGTGCTTATTAGAAATGGGAGAAATTTGACTGTGGCTGAAAACAAAGAGGAATATTTGCATCTTTGGGATATGATTGGCTTTCTAAAAGGTCTGGATAAACTGGAATCGGGTTGACAGAAATGTATAACATGGATGGGACATGGAGCTGTAAACAATTACAACAGTGGTAAGAGAAGTTGCTGATGGTGGTGCAAGCTTTTTTTTCTTTTGTTCTAGACAACGATATGGAAGGGGCTGCCCGGAATGTGATCATCCCCCCATTTGACCACCAGGATGTACTCTCCCTTCTCTTTGAGCTGGTAGCTGACATTATACAGGCGGTTGCCCAGATGTTTTACCAGGATCTCCTCACAGGGAACTTTGGGGCCATCCACCCCAACCAGCAGCATGTTCCGACCTATGGATACAAAGGCACACATATTACAATGTGAGTTTTAGCTCGGTAGTTTTGCATAACCTACTGATCACCACAAAAAGGTGATTGAAAACTAGGGAAAAAAAAACAAAAAAAACATTGGTGCTCAATTTTCAAATTGAGGGTCATTTTAAGTTGAGCAAAAGTACCCAATAAGGTTTTAAAATTGCTAGCTGGCTACTCAAACATCTGATCCTGTATTCATTTCAAGAAAAAAAAAAATCATATTTTACTTTTAAACTTCACTGTCCTCTCATGTGAGTACAGTGTACCTTTAACATACCGAGTGCATCAAGAGTAACCAGTTCAAAAGGAAGTCTTGTAAAAACTACAAAATTCAGGACATTGTGACATACTGATAAGACAATAAGTTATGCTTGCTGGGGTAGGTTAGAGACTCTGACACACCTGCTTTGCTGCAGTCAACACTGAAGCTGTTCTTCTGACCAACAAAGCCTTTGTTGAGGCCAAGACCTTTAGCCACCACCTTACTGGCATCTGACTGGATAGGAGCACCTTGCTGAGTGGAGCTGATGGCACGACTCACAGGATCAACCATAACAGAGGAAGTTTCATGCATACTGTGGCTGGACACAAGCTTGGAACCTGGGGAAGGGTCGGACACAGTGATCTAATCAGACTCAATTGTCAAAGTATTTGTAGAATCGCTACAAACAAATCTTTCTTACCAGTGATCTTTGCCTTGAAAGGGCTTCCCACAATGTGGTAGGGTCCACCATACTTAATGGATATGAGATAACTGCCGGGTGCCATTGGAGTGTATGTGACCTTGTAGCCCTCAGAGCACTCCACGCAGTCCATCTTCACTTTTGAGGGACCATCAATAGTTACAGCCAAAGCCCCGGGACCTGCATTGCTCGTGTTGACCACAAATTCACATGCCGTTCCTGTGGCAACAATAGAGTAAGACTGGTGTTCGGACTTTTATGCACTCATTTTCTTCTTCCACGCAGGACCATGCAGGTAGTTACCTGTGCTGCCTTTTTCCAAGCCTGGCCCATAGGCAGACACCATTCCAGGGTCTCCGGCCTGGCCAGTCTCTCCAACCCGGATCTTAAATGGACTACCAGGGATGTGACTTCCATTGAACTTCACATCAATTAGATAGAGGCCATTCTCTCTTGGGATGAAGCGGACTGCATACTTATCTAGAGGAGACAGAAAAACACAAAATGACTGAAGGAGTTGACACCAGATTTCTCCACAATACATCAAAATGTCTTAGCAGTTGTTGAAATGAGTTCAAACACTTTTTTTTTTGGGGGGGGTTACCTTGGTCAATCTCAGTAACACAACACTCCTCCAGCGCTCCTGATGGGCTGTGAACCTTTGCATCGATCACACCCTTTGCTCCATTCAAGCTGACTGCAAATGATGCCGGCTGGTTCACCTTCAAGCCAGACTCCTGCTCGACAAAACACACTCAAACTCTCAACTCATTCCCATAAACACAGTCCTAAGCCTTGTGAACAGCCTTCCCAGCTGAGATGAAGCTGTAATAGGTGGACTGGCATATTGAACGCCTTAGGTGGTGGTGAGCGAATACTTTTGGTGATATAGTTTACATGGATTATTTCATAGTTGATCAATAACTGTAAAAGGAAATTAAGGAAAAAAGGTTTATATGCATAAATGTATCCCATGTGGAAACTGCCACACTGAAGTCTTATTTTCAAAACATTGACACATTTTTACCATTAGTAAAGGTTTTTCTTTGAGAACGATGAGATGGTGTGGTGGCCGACTGAAGCACACTTCTTTCGTAACGGTAAAGACAAACCGCTTTATAAAAATTATGCAAGTTGCATTGTTTGTGTTGCAGTTGATGCAAGTGCAAAAATTATCCTAACTACTCATAACCATAACCATAGTTTTTTATTTTGTTAATGAAAAAAAAATTATTTTAATTACACTGTTTTTTGTTATAATGGTGAATAAGGATATGCGAATGTAAAAAGTCGCTTCAGTTATTTAATAGCACTAGTTTTTTATTTTGTTAATGAAAAAAAAATTATTTCGATTTTGGTTTTAGTCATTTTTCATTAACTACAATCACCTTGCGGGTTATGGCTTTACAGTAGTAGAT